TGTCTGCACCTCCCCCAACCTCAGCTCCTCTCCACTTAACCCATGGCTAAGATCTCTACAGGCTTAGTACTTGCAAAACGAGCAGCGGGAAATACAAAAACAACATGACAAAACAATCAGACAAAAATGCTTTGATGGTCTTTTTCCATAACGAACATTGTTCAGCATTGATTCTTCCATATTTCTTGTCCTTTCTGCTTGAGTGCCTAGCACATGTAAACCAGCCAGCAGCTCTGTGTTAGAAACTCCTCGCAGAGCTCACTGACCAAATCCTTTACCAGATACCTGCACCCTGTGCTCTAATCTCAGGGTCCTCAGGCAAATTAGAGTTCCAATGCTACATCTCCATCTGATTCCGTGATGTCTTTACCCACTTGAAGTCCTATCGATGGCATGAATTTCTTTTTAAAGTTGATTCAGATTTCCAGGTGAATGTTAAGAATTCTCAGATACATGTAGGAAGTTGCAAAGCAGGGGCTATACATCCCTGTACTGATATTGTTCTTTGACTTGAGCGTTGCGCGCGCGCGCGCGCACACACACACACACACACACACAGCATCCATTGCTGAGAATTTATGGTCAGAATAATATAGACCTAGGTGGGTCTTCTTCTATCCCACTCTTCTACTGTTTATTTGACTTTCTGGATCCATGGTCGGGGTATACGGAACACAAGCAAATTGATTTCAAAACAGGGTCAAGAAAAAAAAATAGGCAGATTAAATTCATGTGCATCATAACTCCTAATAAGAATGATTTTTATGACATCAACTCCTATTGACGCTCCATGCAGACACACACTCGATTCCTATCCAGAGAGGCTGGTAAGGCTTGGTATGTCATATACATGGGTACCTATCCTACTACAAGCCAGTAGCTGGGCCAGCCAGAGTTCTGCTTAGCCAGTCTCCATGAAGTGCTCCGCCCCTTAGGTGTGAGTAGTTTAACCTAGCTAAACACTCGGGAACGATGCAATCACCAAATGAAAGGAGCAATCACACCTCGAGTGGAAGTTTACGATGTTTTGGCTCACAATGAACGTTAGTCTCCCCCCCTAATGTCAGGCAGTAATTCACTGTTGAACAGCAGCCATAAAATATGATCACTTAGCAGTAGGAATGCAAGAGGCAAGGAAAGAGGGTTCCAGGCAAAATATTTAAGCAAAGAGATTTTGGTCACACTGGCCTCATTACCCCAACTTGGCACAAAGATTTTCAGGTTTATACAGACACCCTAAAGCAGATGGGGATGGTGTTTGCCTTAAGATTTTTTCCCTGCAGGTGAAATTTTAACAGTTTGTGGGTTATTTCTAAGTTCCTAGGTACCTTCTGGTGACTACAGCATTTATATGCCATGTTTCTTAGCAGCACTTGCCCTATAATGCTCGCCATGAAAAAGCTGCCAATACCAGCCATAACACACACACACACACACACACACACACACACACACACAACGAGAAAACATAAAAGACATCCAAATTGGCACTTTCCTCACCTCCTTTCCCTCTGCCTCATGTGATGTGCGCACTAAAGGAGTGAAATTATGGTCATCAGAGGCAAGGAGCAAATGATGAGGACCCACACCTTTCAAACAATAGGAAAAGTCAGTAATTTTGAGGGCAGCCTATGGATAGCTACAGTCTAGCTCCGAGACCCCTGAAACTCACAGCAAACCCCCAAGCCCTCCCACCCACCCTCCCCACCACGAGTCTCTTGTCATATTGCAAAGAACCCTGCGAAGCCCTTGATACACACAGGAGATTATTACAGGGCTCGGAGAAGACAACTCTGTAATTACGGCTACAGTGTGATTTCCATTATTCTCACCCCCTGGTTGCAGGAGCTCATGAAACTTCCTGCAAAATCCTCCTGCAGCCCCAAAGCATTTCACGGCTGGGCCTCTGCCCAAAAGGTGAATGTGGTCTGATAACCTCTGGGAAAAGCAATACAAACTCATGGCAAGGAAAGAGGAGTGGCTAGTGCTCAGCAAGCAGGGGTGGTGGGAAATTCTATTGTTTAGAAAAAATAAATAAACTGGCCAGTTTTGCTCTTTATTATTTCAAACAACAGACTCGGCGGCCCAGCCTTCCTTTCCCAACTCTGTCCCCTGGGCCAGCTGTGCTGAGTCTGCAGCAGCAGTAGCTGAGCTCCAGCAAAACTATTAAAAAGGCTGCCACTCTGAGCTTGTGGAGCAGAAAGTTTGGCTGCCCCGATGCCCTGGCTTTCCCCAGGAGGGCCGCTGGCTCATTCCCCCCACATGACCCTCTGTGCTCTTTACTTCTCAGATGTTTATGCTTCACCAATCCCACTACTGCTCTGGAAATTAAATGGAACGTCCCAGGTGGCTGAAACAGAACTGTTCTTATATAAACTCCCCAAAGTAAAAAATGGGAAATGCCAGCCCTAGGTTTATAAAGCCCCGAGCCTCCTGGTCAGGTGGTGCCTGTCGTTGCTGGCCTTACTGACCTCGGCGGACACCTAAAGGCAAGGCTCTGCTTACAGCCTACCCCAAAAGCTTTTCCCTAAGCACTCTGTGTGCCCAGCCTCCCAGAGGGAGGGTCCTCAGCCACCGTTATGGGGATATGCTTCACTCTGACCTCCCTATCAGGGGCCAGGCTTCCACGGGTGTGAGGCAGCCAGCCCCCACGACCTCCATCCACCCTCTGGCCAACAGCACATATTTGCAAGTTGACTGCCTTGGGTTTACAATGCAGCTGTGGCCAGGAAGCATGGCTCTTTTTACCCCCTGAGAGAGAATAACTGTTCTGTTACATGCCCTGAACTCTCAATGTTTATTTCATGGACACCATATTTTGACCAGCTCAGACAATGACACCCCTCCCCCCCACAAAAAAGCCTCCTACATGATCTGTTCAGTCTTGCCAGCAAGTAAATGATCCTGTTGCACTGAGTAGGAAGTTTAGTGGGTGGGAATCTTTTTAGCACAGTGAGGTAAGTTACTTCTCTACTGTGCGGAGATAGGGCTCACTAAAGAAAAGAGTTGAGGTGCCCCAAATCGCCTTGCTTACTTTTCACTCTCAGTAGTGCTTATTCACCCATCGGGCCAGGCCGAACAGGTCAACAGACATTTCATTGTATGAACTGCATACGGGAATGCCTTTGGAATTTGGAACTCACTTTTCTAGCAAACCAAACTCACTGAATCATAATAAAGAATGAAATCATCTGAACATCCAACAGAAACACCCTCAAGGCCCCTGCTCCAAAGCTCGGGTGCTTCCCTCCTCAGTTTATACTGTGGCTTAGCAGACACAATTTCAGCAAGTTTGGGTATCTCACCGAAAAGCCCACCCACCAAAAGCTGGAAGCCACAGATGGAGGGAGGGGGAAAGACCAGAGTTGCCCAGGGTTCCTGACAGCAGCTGGAGGTGATGAGTGGCAATGTGCACTAAAGGGAGAGGCAGAAGGCAGTGGCAACAAGACACAGGAGTCGTGCCAGGACAACACACCTATGCCTCGCACATGGCATGTTCTCGGGCATCCACAAGAGTCAGTTCAATATGTGAGCAATAATCACAACAAGGAGGCCAAGGCAGCAACAGAACGTTCAATCATGTTTAATATAGTCTTCTGAGTAAGGCAGGGAACTATGAAGTATAGTTCTTAAAGCTATGTAGATGATGGTTGAATCAATCATTAATTAGATGTGTAAGGCCATACACTACGATTTCCTGGTTACCTCTTTGGCAGTACCAGATGGTGGCATGCCACCCGCATCATCTCTGTGGAGCGTCATGGCATTTCACCAACATGTGCTTCCTCTTCCAGATACTGCCCATGTAACTACTCCCTGCACATCCCCCAACTCACACACACCTCTCCCTGCCTCTCCTCCTCCGTACTCTCACACGCCAGCCCCATTGCCTGTTCCAAGAGATGTAGAATTTAAAGAAAGATATGACTGCCAGGCTGCTACACAGTAGGATGGGAGAGTAGGCAAAGTCTTCTAGATTTGCCGAAAGCATTTCCCCTTGACCGTGTCGAGCTAATGCCCAGAAACGCATCAAAGAGAAAAGTAGAACTCAAGGTTGTCTCAGATCTGGCAGTGTCACTTTCTCAGTATAAATCACACAATATCCAGAGAATTCCAAGGGAAGCCTATTAAATAAAAAAAGCAGGAGCTCCATGTGGGTCCACCAACACTCCCTGGGACAAGACTGAAGTGCAATTACCAGCTAACACAAGACAGGATATACTGCTTAGTTTTAGGAAGGCTTTTGATCCAATCAAGGGGGGTTCTCCAGGGCACCAGCTTTAACTCATTGAGATAAAAAGCCTGAGCACAGCAGGTGAGAGAAGACTCTTGGATATAAAGGTGCCCCCAAAACTGCTGAGGGGCCAAACTCACCCAGCACCCAGAGCCAGCAAGCTTCTGGAGGATGAGGAGGAAAAGCTCTTGTCCCAGATCACACCATTCTACTCCACCTCAAGCAATTTCTATGCTCCAACAATATCCATGGTTTCTTCATCCCATGATTTGCCTCTCAGCCCCAACACTGACTCTAGCAGGTCCTTCACTTTCCCCCATCTGTTTCCCTGCATGGATTCCAGACAGATGCAACAGTCAAAAGGGCTGAAGCAAGAGGAACAGGTACATTCCTTGCCCCTGCCCACCTTCCCTAACCACTAAGCCCTTAGACAGCCTTTGCATTAGGGCACAAACCCAAGCTGAGCAGAGCACGCCATTCAGGATGACCTACTGAGACTGCGATAACTCCTCCATGTGCATACCAGACCTAGGAAAGAGGCAAATCTACACACTCGCCCACTGTGATGCCCACAGTAACCCTCCACACGAAGACAGAGAAGGGACAGGTTGTTATTCATGACTTCAAGAGCAACATATCTCCTTAGCTTAAACCTGTATCACTTTCCCACCAGGCCCAAAAGTAGTTAAAAAGCATGAGAGAATATCCATCCCACCGGGGATAGATGGCCTTCACAATAATCAAAATGACTGCATCTCATTCCTACCTTCTTCAGCTTGCCACTTTTGGTGCCCACGAAGGCCAGAGAGTGATTCTTGTAGACGTAGGCAATGACAGAAGTCATGCGGTCCCTGTCCTCTGTGAAGACGGGAATGCCACGTACCATCTCGGACACGCCCAGGGGGGCATTCATATCCAGGCCACAGAAATTATCATCAATGGTTAAGAGCTGAAAATTAAAAAGAGAAAAATTAGGAGGGAACATCAGGACAATAAGCAGAAGTATTGAGTCAGGTAATGACAGGGCTAGAAGAATCCTTCTTGGAAAAATCCAAGAAAAACTCAGCTCCAGGGAAACTAGATGACCTGTTAACAGTCAGTCTAAATAGGTAGTAGGACCATGGCAAAAAAACACAGATCCCTAGAGTCTCTTTCTTCTCCTGTCCTCCATGGTCTCTCTGCCCCTCCTCCAACCCCTCTGGGTGCCATCTTCGTAATGCGTAATGTAGATGGCCCATCATCACCATCAAGGTGGAGAGCACTGGGCCAACACCCATGAGCATGGGCTCCAGGCAGCTCTGCTTGGGAATGAGAGGGAATGTGGCCTCCACATCTACACTTACTATTGAACAGACACACAGAGGAGGACTCAAGAGTGTAGAATAGAGAACCAGAAACATTAACATGTGAATGACAATATTGTGACAGAAGCATCACAATGTACAGACAATCAGTTGAGGAAAGAGAAATAGAGAGATGGAAGGTTCACAAACAACTCAACAAGCCCCAGTGGTGCCTCTTGATGCCCCATCTCAAGCTCCCTGCCTTTTATAAAATCACAGTGAAAATGGACAACCCTGGCCTTGTCATACCTATACCAGCATTTGCCAGAGTGTCTTCTGTGGAAGCCAAGCCCTCCAAGATGTTCTACCAAAATAGGGCTCCTTGGTCAAATTATTTTGTACTGAAACACAGCACATTCTAACAACATGTAAGAGACGCATAACAATTACAGGAAAGGTCTGAAAAGTCTTTTTAAGAAGAAATATGTTTAACATTCCTTTTGCCTTTCCCAAACATTATATGCCCTAAAAATGACTGGAACACCTGTTAGCCTTCCTGAAAGCATTCCAAGAGAATGTCCCCTGGAGACCCTGTGGGACTCACAGATCCAACTCTTGCTCCTGAATCCCAGACAATTTCAGGAGCCAGGGAACCAACAGGAAAAGGCTTTGGCCCATCTTGGCTGAATCTCTCCCTGTTTTATTCCAGGCTCCCAGATCCCCACATGAGCACAGGGTCACATCTGGGTTATGTCCTACTGGGTAGTGGAAAAGAACTTCATGGCTGGCAAGGGACCCCCAGCACCACCACCGAGCAGCTCTGGTCTGGCACAGACCTCTCCGAGGCTCTAGGAACCTACACCAGATTTTTCCTTCCAAGAAGAACCGTGTGGCCTTAGAAGAGTTATTCTGTCTTCCTGTGCTTTTATTTTCCACTCTATAAAGATGAAGGAAACAACCCCTGCTTTTTGATGGGTTTCCATAAAGCCTATAGAGCTCATGCCTGTAAATGTCTTTGGACTTTGCAGAAAAAGGAGTGAAATAAAATACAAGGTGTCACTTTTTTAAAGGTTTCAATCCAGCCAAAGGAAAAGGCATCTGGAGAACCAGCAGGCAGGCTCTTGCCAGCAAAGCGATGTGAAAGTGGCCAACTCAGCTTTCCGGGGACTTGAGGGACCCTTTAGCCCCCTCCCAGAATGGAGGGAGCAAGCATTGTCCATCTCAGGGAAGACAACACGCTGAGCATCCAAAACCTCTCCCTGACCTCTCCCCTCCTTCTTATGATGGGGGCAGTCAGGGCAGGGCTGGGGAGAGCAGGGGCAGGCCTAGGCAGGACACATGCAGAGCAGATGTCTGCTCTAGCCTTTGATCCCCTCTGGCCTTTCTTGCGTGGTCTGGTCGAATAGCCCAGGCCAAACACAACCCTCAACTCCTCCCTGCGAAAAAACAATATAAGAAGTCAAAGTTAGAAGGGAGCTTTCAAGGTCTAGACTGATCTTTATAGCTCTTTCCTAAAATAAGGAAATGGGGGAGGACACAGGTGATGGAGGGTAAAAGGGATAGAAAGAAACAAAGAAGGAAAAATCCAGATGAAGGAAGTTTTCTGTCTTCTTCCTGCCGGACATAATGGTAGCATGACCAATGGTAGGCATGCCAGGGGCTGCTTCAGGCATGCTGGGAATCCTCATGGCCTTGAATGTCCCTGCCTCCACTTCATAAGGAGCCCTCACCCCTAACTTTCTTGGCTCTAAGCTGTGCCACAGAGACTTCTGCCATTAGCAAACATATCTTGCCCATTATGAACCGTTTTCCAAGTAGATGAGGCTGCATGGTTGTCCACGCTGAACAAGGAGAAACTGAGGTAGGGAGCAAGGCAGGCCATGTTTGACAGTCTCCCACCACCCCTGGCACAAACGTGTGCCTCACTGACCTGGGAGACTTGGGCTCCTCAGCCCCCAGGATTACATTTCTGAGTGGTCAGTAACTGATTACCATTTTTCCCCTCGGCTGAGCAAAACACTAGCAAATAAATAAACAACCACCTACAAAAAGAGCATATGCAGTTGGCCAATTGCAGCATTAAATCATTGCTTGCTCAGAGGCAGCAAGTCTCTGTCGCTCTGGCACCTTGAGCAGCAAGGGGCCCAGGGAGAAATGTTTTCATTGGGAAAAAGCAAGGAGAGCCCAGCCTGGCGGCCCGGTGGCCAGGGCTCTGCCCATCTTCGGCTCGTAACAGCCCCCTTAAAGGCCCAGTCAGGAGACAGCTGGTTGGCTCAACTGTACCTGACACTGCCTACCTCATGGTATTGTCATCAGGCTCCAAGAAGGCCACGGCTGCAGCTGGGGTTCCTAATGTTGCATTGAGATTCCAGGGACAATGATGGCTTCCTCCGGCACCCCCACCATGCACGCTTTCTCCGTCTACATGGGGCCCCCGGTGCTAATGGTATGAGCAAAGCCTTTGGCCAGGTGCAGCCCAGGTCTGCATGGATGCTAAGGACCCCCAGCTGTGGCATAGTGGTTCTTACTCTTTGTTTCCTCAAGGCAGGGACAATGGGGGTGGGGAGGGCGGTTAACACTAAAGTAGCAGAAAAAACACATGACTTGGTTTCACACGGCAGCTCGCTTCCCAACTATACAACTTAGCATAGGGTCTTCCTGTTCTCTGAGCCTCAATTCCCCTTGACTGTAAAGCAGCAAGATAGGACTGTCATGAGGGCCAGGTGAGATAATGGGAGTGAAGACACTGGGTAAACTGGAAAGCACTTTGTCAATTCAAGGTGATATTTCATATTCCTTTTTCTTTAATGGAAATCCTGCCCAGAACAGGGACAGAGTGGCCGCAGGGAGAGCCCCTAGCATGGCTCCTGAAGGGAGCAAGCTCTCTAAGGACACCACCACGCCATGTCTGAACTATAGCCACAGGGTAATTAGAGTACCGGAGGGGAGGGGGAGGAAGACCCCACAGGGCCCACAGACTTGGGGTGTGTGAGGTGTAAGGAGCAGATGCCAGGCCGTGTGGGCCCTGGAAGGAAAGGCTAATTGGTGAAAACCTTCGACAGGTGAGGGCTGGCGTGGATTCCAGAACACCCTGGGCAATGGGGGAGGAGAGTGTCTGCTCAGGCCCTGGCTGAGCCTCCCCTGGGCCCCATTAACAGCAAGATTAGAGCGGCAGGCAGAGGAGCCCGGAGTGGACCGGACCCCACTGTAATCAGGAGCCCAGTCACACCTCTCCCTCGGCTGCTCCACAAACTCCCACAAATGAGCTTTGGCCATTGTTACGATGCTTATTTATTAGAGAGTAACTTCATTCTCACCAAGGGAAAAACAAGGATCTGTTCCATGAAAATATATGTGGTGCCTCTTTGGGCAACCCTGTGAACAGGCCAGGGCCACGTCCTTCTGCCCCAATCAGGAAGATCCCAAATCCACTTTCCACAAACGGCCTCATGGGTGCATGACTTATAAATTAAGACCTGTGATCCAAGGGACTCCAGGGACCATGAGCTCAAACACAGAACCATGTTTTATGTGTCTCTGTACCCTTAGCTGAGTTCCTGGTTTATAGGGTTAAGACATATGTTTAATTAATGGATGGATGGATGGACAGATGAGCAAATAAAAGCCTGAGTTTCACAGTGGTTAACACTGAGGAACTAGAATTAGAATGTCTAGGTTTGAATCCCAACTCTACCACGTAATGCTGTGAGACCTTGGGCAAGTCGTTTAACCTCTGCATGTCTCAGCTTACCACTGGTAGAATGGGGATAATACTATGAAAAAATAATACTATATACTTGCTAGTGCAGTGGTAAGGGTTACATGATTTAATTCACGTAGATCACTGGCGTTTACTAAGTCCTTTGGGAATGTTAGCTCATATTGTTTGTCATCCTTAGACAATTCAGACAACCTTTGTGAGGCTTTTTGGGGAAATTCCTGGTATCTACCTCAGAAAGGTGTTATCACAACTAACGGGACTAATGTTATCAAGGTGAAGTAGCAAAAGTGGTACTTCCTAAAGATCTATGAGGCCTATGAGGCTATAGGAAGGAATAGAGGAATGGTGTAAGATCCAGAACATTCAGCACTATTCATTAGAAACGCAAATTCTTGGGGCACCTGGGTGGCTCCGTTGGTTGAACGTCTGACTCTTGATTTTAGCTCAGGTCATGCATGACCTCACAGTTGGTGAGATGTAGCCAGGTGTGGAACCTAGATCATGTCCCAGACAGGTGTGGAACCTCTTTAGGGTTCTCTTTCCCTCTCTCCCTGCCCTCCCCTGTTTGCACATGTGCACACACTCTCTCTGTGTCTTAAAAGAAAGAGAAGGAAGGAAGGAAGGAAGGAAGGAAGGAAGGAAGGAAGGCAGGCAGGCAGGCAGGCAGGCAGGCAAATTCTTGCACAGACCCCAGATCTATACTGGATCGGGACCCCTGGGAGTGAGACTCAGGGACCTGCATCACCCCGTGGAGGTCACTTCCTTGGCGGGGGCAGGGGTGGGATGCCATAGAGCAGGCCCAGGGAGAGAAAGCACAGCCACTCTGAGCAGGCCCTACTGGCCCTGGACGCAGAGGCCCCATGGCAGAGGGCGGTGGCAGAGGTAGTGTGGAGAGCCAGAGCTGACACTCCAAATTACAATCTAATAGCTTCCCGCGCTTCCCTC